TACCACCACCCATACACACACACACGTGCTTCAGTTCCATTTCTCCTGCAAAAGGAATTAGAAGATGAGGGCAGCGCAGGAAAGGGAGAGTGAAGTGAATCCTGCCGTCGYGAGTCATTTGGGACAAAGTACAAGAAACCCTAAAACACAGAGTAATGAAAGTGCTCCCCTCTCCGCATTCAGACACAGCGGTGGACGTGGCCGAGCTGCATTGCGCATCATGTTAACATGCACATGGGTGTATCCTGTGAGTGTGTTTATGGAGAACCTGCAGTACCTCTCATGTAATAGCAGTCTCCAGACTCCAGCGGTAGCATCAAGCCAGGAGTGTGAATGTCCCAGGCCACCTTCAGCCCGATCCTCCAGTGTGCCTTCTCGCCGTTGCTGCCTTCGCTGCTCTCACCTGTCAGTCAGACACATCGTGTTTCAACTTTTTTTGTTTTAATCTAACGTTTAAATGCACATTTTGGCAGCTGAACACTTTCGCTCATACACTTCAGTGTAATGCATATGGGCTATTAGATTATTAAATCAGGGTCTTTTTTTTTTCTTTTTCCTAATCTGAAATTAGTTTATCTTTGTACCAATAACCACTTATCAGTCATAAAATAAATTAAAGCTGAATGAAGATCATCAACATGATAAAAGTACAGAGTGCAACTAATCATTACAACCCAAACAGTGCATTTATGATGTAAGTCTGCCTCCAGAATGTGAGAATCACTTAACGTTTGAGCAAAGATGAAATGTGTTGCTGTGGTCATATTGGCTGTTAGCACAGGATCTTTATGCTATCATTATGCTGTGCAAGAGGAAATAGTTGGATAAAAGCCCCTGATGTTGTTTAGTGAGTGTGTGAGAGCATGTATCCTATGATATTCTTGTTGCTGAACCCATTCATGGATACCGCCTTCGCTGTTCTTCTCTTTCTGCCTCAGTTCTTACATGGCAGGCTACGAAAACAAGATTTGCCTCGGCTGGCCGACACCCTTGAGCAAAATCAATACTAAAGTCTTTCTGGGCTTCTCTGCCTCATAGCTGCCTTTTCCTTTGCTCAGCACGGATAAATAGTAACTTAATTTCCAGGCATTGTGCTCTGAGAGCCAGCTAATGACAGCACTCCCCAAGGCCTCAGGAATAGTAGAAGCCCATCCTTTGTGCCGGAAAACACTCAGTCACGGCAGATTCCTTTGGATCAGAGCAGCCGGGGGGGAAAAAAGACATCGCTGCAGTTCTCAGGTCAAAGAAAAGAAACGAGGTGAGGCTGTTAAAAAATTTTAAAAAGTACAGCGGCACGTTAGAAAGAAGCTGTTGTAACAGAAAAGTGTCTGTATAGCGAAGATTTCTAGCATGTTGCATAGACAAGGCTGTGGGAAACCTCGGTGTCAAACTCTGGAACACAAATTTGAGGAGTTCTCATCAGACTTCACTCTGTAAAGTCTGAAAATGTGAGGTCAACCAGAGCTAGCAGTGCAAGGTGTTACACTGTAGTGTTTGATGCCTGTGTTCACAGTGTCAAAGTTGAAATGACCTAGAATAAATTATTAAAGCAGACTTCTGGAGCAGGTGTTACTTCATAAGTTCAATGAAAAAAAACAGATGTAAAAAATATGTTAGGATATCGGAACACTTGAAACTGCACGTGTGATACTGAAAAGTTACAACTCTTGCAAGCAAATCAACTTTGTTGAGCTTCAACATTTGACAGAACAGTACATGAACTGTAACTTTGAAAAACTTTTAAACCAGCTCGGGAAAATATGTTTCATTGTCTATCCAGCATATAAACAGGGCTAGGGCCAGCCCTGGCCAATAAGGCAACCCTGGCAAGATTCCAGGTGGGACCCTTGAGCAATTTTCTAAATCTCACTGCAAATTCATTCACATATCAATGCTATATATACAGTATACAGTATATATATATATATATTTTTTTTCTATCTTTAGAAACCAGGCTGTCCAATTAAAATAGTTAACAATATATTTCATTTAAAACAGAATACCAGAAGTCAACCCCTTACCTGCCAACATCTGCTGACAGCAATGAGGAACCCTTTTTCATGTTAATGAGCAGCTGTGGAGTGAAGCAGTTCTAGGGGGATACAAGGGTATWCTCCCCAAGGAAAATCTGTAAAAGATCTACTCAAAGCCGTGCATTTTCCAGCCATTTAAAGAGCATTTTATTMAATTATTGGGATTACTAAATCAACAGAAAAATCTGTATTTTGTGAAGAACATTGAAAAACAGACTTTAACCATCTGAGATCATAACTGAAACTTCAGTTATCCTTATTTTCATTTTTATTTAAACAATGAGCACCAGTAGTTAGTGSTGACTGCATCATATGATACTTTTATCACAAAATATCCTGTGCACCACATAACACCTCATGTAGTAACAAAGCAGGCTGAGAAACCCATGGAACAAGTTACCTTAAATCAACTTTAAATCAACTATTTTATGATAAAATTTTATTCTATTTTTATCCCCCTAAGTGAACGGTTCCCTCAGCATTTTTCTATACAGCCTATGCCACGAGTTCATCCTGAAAAAAGCAGGGAGGTGTATTTAATAAGTTAAAATTTAATTTATGAAAATAAGTGATCATTAAAATTTCATATTCAAGTTTTGACCATTCTAAAAGATATTCATATTTTAAATAAGATATGTTTTTTAATGGTWGTGTTGTGTTTTAATGTCTGTTTCACATGCTATCTAGAAAGCAACGTTCTCACCTTTTCTCTGTCAACTCAATCAGYTATCAGCTCTTGAGAGAGTGTGCATTCCGTAATTAGGACACAACATATTATTCATACGGTACAGTCGAGGAACACTAATCAAAGCGGTACTCATTATTCCATATCAGATAATTGCACATTGATCATTTCTTGGGGAAATGATTTAGATGAGATGTAGCGTCTGAGATAAGGTCTGTTTGTTAAGACGCCATTGAGCTGATGTTAAGAGCTCAGATTCAAATGTCTGTGATCTCCCAAAGCACAAGCAGTGATAAGGCAGTCAGCAGCCAACTGGTGATGACATTTGATAATGCCCTGACACTATCACATAGATGGATCTGATGGTTGCCTCACCAGAGGCCATGTCTACAGCTGCTATAGGGCCAAAACACTCAAGGTTACCTGCATCTTATCCACCATAAAGCAGCTGAGATAAGTTGATGTGACGATATTTAAGTGGAAGAGGAATAATAATCAAACTGGGGGCTATTTGCACGCTAAAAGTGAACTAAATTGTTTAAAAATGAGAATAAAAACATAAAGTGGAAAATTTATCAGCCACAGTTAAGTACATCAACCACTGACTTGTATGTTATTTTACCTAAAGTCTTACCTTTGTCATCTTGGCAACWAAAGTTGTAAACAGCCACTGGTGAATGTGTGATCAGGTTTTCATCATGGTGCCACCCTACTGCCATTTTCCCCATGCCATAGTATGGCTCCTCTTTGAGCTGGCTCATTTGTGCTGGGTCCATGTAATTGAGTAAGGTGACATTGAATCTAACTGGGCCAGTGCAAATTTGTGGAGGACTGGGCTTAGAACAACCTTGTCCACTCTCACGTTCCTCTTTGTCCTGAATGTGGTAATCGGACAGGCTGTGCTTTAGTTGGGTAACAGGCTTCTCGTGTGCCTCTAGTCCCACAGGGTCTTTCTTTGTCCCACTGGTGGCCTTAGTTGTCCAGCTGGGGCATTTTCCTTCGCTGTGTTCTGAAGTTGCTGCAACGCAGGTTTCACTTTGTGAAACTTGGGAGGACTCACCCTCTTCACTGCCAAGTWTGAACTCGGTTTCCCACTCCCCTTCCAGCTTTGACCCAGAGCAGCCTTCTTCGCTATGCTTCGACTCAATGTCCCACTCCTCGCTGTGCTTGGACTCTGTGTCTCCCTCCTCACTTTGCTTAGACTCTGAGTCCCCTCCTTCACTATTTTTAGAGTCTTCACTGTGTTTYGACTCCGTGTCCCCCTCCCCGCCTAGTTTAACTTCTGCTTCGGCCTTYACACATTGTGTTAGCCTGTCTCCTTCTTTCAGCTGAGACACATCAGAGCAGAAGAAGTTGTTGAGCTCCCATAGTGCCTTGCAGGCAGCTCTCATGTCCGGATCACAACAGTTTTGTCCCTTGACCTGCGTGTCCTCAAGGTGCCAGGGAATAGCAAAGAGCCGTGTGTCCAGGTAGCGGTAGGTGTGGCCCGGCTCACCCACCAGYGCTCGCGACACGGCAGTGAACACATCTCGATCACGAACACGAACCAGATCCTTAAGGAGGGAGCCTTTCCTTCTGAGGGTGAGCAGGGCTGCTTGAACCYGACCATGCAGCTCAGCAGGCAGTGAACAGGATTTCCTTAACACCAACCCACAGTAACTGGAATCCCACTGGAATACATCAATCGTATCAGTCAAAGCATGATTTTAACAATACTCTGCATAGAAACATAATACTTTACTAAATCTAGAATTTATGTAATTATACTGTTTATTAATGTATCAGCACCTTTTAAATGGACATCTATATTATTTTTGGCATTATACAGGGATAGAATGAACTCACCAGCTGCTGAAAGCCTCGATCTGAAGGTCCCAGAAAGGGGATCTTCTGGTCTCCCAAATCCTGAAGTAGCTTACGCCTCTGTTAAACACAACACATACAGTAAAAAACTCATTTTTAAGCCGTGTGTGTTTTTATTTGCACATTGTAATGTCTACATGTTTCAAGTTATTTATTTATWTTTTATCATTCACCAAAAACATCTTAATGTTTTGACAAAAGCATACAAAGAAACTTTACATCACTGAAGTAAGAGAATCCATAAAATAAATGAAATTTTAGGCAAAATATATTTTGATAATAACAAGAAACTACAATGAGACACCGAAAACTGAAACTCGGCATACTGACAATTGAATTAACCTAATCATTTTTAACAATGCCTTGAGAAGGAACTGAAGTATCGCAGACAATCAGCAAGTGGCCATTTTGACTAACGTATCAGTGCTGGGACGCCCAATCTCATACAGAGCACCTACAATATGATACAACCAACTCAATTTTGTTGGTCACMTTCAATTCTAACCCTTTGATAAAAAGTAACAGACATAAAAAAACGCATGTCCAAATAACATGGGTTTTTATGTACTGCTTTTTTTAAATACATGTGGACAGCAGTATTTGTATCTATTTCTACTGTRTATGGTTGCATTTGTGTAGTTGGTGCCTCAGCATTCACTTCCCACAGGTGCACACACCCATACACACACATGCATGGGGGTTCTGGAGCAGGAAGTTGAAATGTTACTGGCAGGCCCCTGTCTTTTCACATCTGAAAGTTTTGGATGAATGGTTTGTGGATCTACAACCCAACAGTTTGTAACAGTTAAGGAAGAAAAGGCACCCTGTATATATTTTAGTGACATTTGCAACTTGCATTTGACTTTTTTCCCTGCACTAATAATGCCAAAGACCCCATGTGGCAAATCATGTGGGACACGGCTGCCAAAATTTGTTCAGACATTTAGAGTGAAATAAAACGTCGCGTTCATGAACATTTACAGTGGAGTTATAAAAAAATTATGTGTCCTGACTCAAAAGAGAGGATGGATCAAAAAGTGTGCAAATAGTGTAGGGATGTGCACTGAACACAGAAACAGTGGGAATGGGTGGGTAGGGAAGGTATAAAAAGATCCCAAATAACGGTGGCAGATAAAATGTAAGGGCATCTGGATTGAGGCAGTTTGACGAATTTACCTTCAGGGTTGAATCTTGACCCTAGGCTAAACAACACAACACTTGCTGGAAGTTTTCTCAAAGGTTGAACAAGAGTGTACAGGCCTTCCGAATTATTCTGGAACAAACTAAAAACAGACTTGCAGACAGCTGGAGCCCCCCACCCACACCCCCTCCCAAAAAAATAAAAAAATAAAAAAAAAAACAACATGCACTATTCATGACCAGGCTGCATACAAAGGCTGTTGGTAGAAATTGACAAGCTGACGCACAATCATTGGTGTCAAAATCTGGCTTATGACAGAAGCTGAAGATATCAAGGGGAGACTCAGGGCTACTGTTCTATGTGTATCCATCTGTGCATAACTGTGTTTACGTGTGCTGCTGTGCGACTGGTCAAACCCTATTTGTTTMCCATTCACATACTTTTTTGTGTGTATAGATATACTTCGTAATAACATTCGGAAAAAAAAGTTTCCATACACACAAAAATATATGAGCTTTCTGAATAATGCACAGCTGTGGTAGCGAGCATGACGCCTCAGCCCCAAAAGCATGCAACCAAGGCTGTCACACATGTGTCAAATATATCAGCCTACTACGAAATTCCACAAAAAAAAGAAGACAAGAAGTTACCGGAGCCCTCTAAGGTAGATGGACTCTCAAAGCATTAGAGAACTTCTGTGTCTGTCTTCTGTCTCTGAACTGGATTCTAAAAGGAAAAACACAAGGTGCAAGAAAAAATAAAATAAAAAATGCTTGCCTTTCTACTCAGACCCCCMAAAAAAAAAACAAGATTACCAATTTCATAACGCTGTAAAGTGGGTGCTTCACGGTAGCAGTCCAAACCATCTGTTCTGAAGGATATATCTGATGCTTTTTCTCTCCCTTTTTTAATCTCTCCCTTCCTTGATGGGATTATTCCCTCAGCCGGACTTATTATCACAGAAAAACACATTAGGTAGAATAGAACTCAATTGGTTTGCTTTGATCTTGGCCTATAAGAGATACCAACCGATGTACTATATATTTAATAATTTAATTTACTTCAAATCTGTGACACGCCAACAGACACTTTCTTCAAAATGAATTTCACGAAGTAGATTAATGTCCAGCGCTTAGCATCAATAGCTCTAAGTAGCCAAATAACTGCACAGCTGCAGGGATAAAACCACCCTGAGTCTTCCCTGGAAGGGCCACTGAAAAAATATATATTTGGCACAACTACTGACAGAGGATACAAGTCCCTGCAGGGTTATCTAGATTTGGTTGTTGCATCATAAACTGCATTTAAAGAGGTTTTATATTTTGTAATCTTATTCTGAAAGTGTCATTTGAAGTGTTATCCATTACCAACATTTCAGTAGAGAAACATAATTATTGGTTGTACTATCTTGGCAGGTAGATACATTTTTCTCCTATGCTATTATACGGCAAAGTTAAAAAGTGAACTGTATCTTCTTGAAGACCTCCAACCAAAAGAGGGCAGCACCCTCATCATGCACCTATTACAGCCTGCATACATGCAGAATCTTTTGGCTTTCAGTTAGTACAAAGTAGCCGAAACGATGGGATGAGGGATAGATGTGTAACAGTGCTTTGTGTTTAAACACTTAGCTATCCGTACTTGTCAGATACTTGCTACAGAACTGGACCTTCAATTCAAAACTAGTGACAAACCAGCAAATTTGACAAGCTGGCTGTAAAATGTCAAGCTCAAAAAGGCAGACTCCCTGTGTGTATCAAAGGTGCTTCCTTCCTGGTCCATTTGGCACCAGATCGAAGAATGTAGGAAGCTCTTGTGAAGCAACATGGCACGCAGAGAAGTGCAGGGTGTGCCTGTAGCATCAGTGCATTTCTGTTTCCACATATAATGTAAATACCCCATAAGGTTTGCAGAAATCTTGTATTTACCATTAAACGGACAAAATAAAAAAAAAATCAAATACTCTAATTTATCCTAGGATGCACTTGAATCAAAAATCCAAGGCTCTCTAGGAAAGGGCAATTACTTTATTTTCCACATAAATCTGTAAATTTTGAATACTATCTCAACCAAATGATATAATACAAACTTGAAGTCCAGTTAAATAACCACCTAGGTGCTATCACAGCCAAATAGCTCACTAGCTGTGTTTCCATTCACCATGAAAATGCGCAAATTAGAATYTCAAAAATAAATTTGCTCAATGGAAACACGTCAATTAAAAAAAATTACACTTTTTGACAAAATGGTTTTGCGCTAGGATGAGGTGGTTTTTCGGCCGTATCAAAATTGGTGTATTTCACAAAATTGCAATGGAAACACTTTTTTCGCATCACAGGAGTCACATGATCAAGAACCGGCTGTTTCTACTGGCGAAAAAGATGACGATGAAGAAGACAACAGGAAGTAAAAGTAGTAGTAAAATCACCTAAGTATTGAAAGAAAGTAGTAAACTGACCAACTACAATTTCCCAAAAATGCTGCATTCGTAGCCGCTCCCAAGTACTGTATAAGGGGCTTGTCGCTGGAAAGCCTTGATAATACGCCGACGTCTCCTCTGATGGCTGATGATGAGCACTAGTGTCGTGGTAGCAATATGCTATGTGTTTACATCCATTGCCGCCATGTTTGTAATGACTTATCGCGAGAACAAAATAAGGGGGAGGGGCAGATATAAGATTTTTTCTTCTTTCTGCCACCTTTCATTTTCTTTGTAAATGTTTTTTTGTTGTTTTGAGGTTTGTTTTGTTTTAAACCGAAAATGAATGAATTCATTAAAATTTAAAAAAACGTATTCACGTGTGACTTTAATTCCATTTCTTACTTAATGGAAACACTGCAATTGTGAAACTGTGTTTTTTCGACATTAACAGAATATCGACAACATTTTGCACACATTTGCAATGGAAACGCAGCTAATGGCAAATAATAATGTCCAGTAAGATGCTCACATAAAGAGCTTCAACTGCTACATCTAGCAAAGACCTTTTCTAGAAAGTATTTTTCTTGTTTTGTAAACAAAAATAACAGTTCTGATAGCAGTTACAATGTCACAAATAACCTCTTTTTATTATAGATTGCACATTATTCTATGTAAGCCACACTAAAAAAAATAAAATCACCCAAAAATCATATTTTTCATCTGCTATGTTTTCATCTTCTCACTGTGTCTATACAATCACTTGTAGCGTTCACTTATTTTAAGAACATCAGCATTAAGATTGGTGACCCAGTGTGATAGCTAACTGGGCCAAGTGGTAAATGGGTAACCAGAATGTGTGGGAGCTGACCTCAGAGTGGGGGCATTGGTAATGTGTAACCCCTTGGCTTTTTACTCTTGCTCTGGACTAGCCAATGAATATGAATTAGAGAATGAGGGCCACAGGTCAGTCAAGAGGATGTTGCCAGAAATATCTAGAGATTCTTTTTGCTCCAACAATCTTCTTGTTAAAATGTACATTTTGAYGGAGAGCTTGCATTGTCCTGTGCAGTTCCAAATCCTATCCAACAGGTAGATGTAGCTTACACTTGCATTTTATGTTTTATGCAAGGTGCTTTATTACAAAATTTGTTCAAACAAAATATGTTAGATGTTTTTGTATGTTGATGAATATGTTCTTCTGCCTTTTTGCAGACATTGGAACATTGGAGACATTGGGTCAATCAAAATTCATAATTTTATGGACCTGTCTTTTGCGTTTTGTTAAGTCCGCTTTCCAATTAGACACATAACGGGCAAAATGACAAATGTGCCCAGAAAAAAGTTGAAACATGTTTAACTACAGCACACATCACAAACAGACAGTATTCTGTATTTATTGACAGACATGTTCAGCATGTGTTCAGAAGGGACACCCAGGTGGGGTAAGTGATGACAAATGGCTGACAGGCGGGTACTGGTCTGCTAATTGTTGTTGTA